ATCACATGCTGTACACTTATGTTTTCCCTCAGATAACAGTACAGTCACATGACCACTATAAAGGCCTTTGAAACTTGAAGGAGGATATGGCTAACTGATAGTGGAGTGGAGGGATTTGATGCAAGAACCAGCAAGCCTCTTAGATCAAAGGTCAGCAAACTACAGCTTACAGACCAAAAATAACCCCCTGCTTATTTTTGGAATTAAAGTTTTATTGGAACACAGCCATGCTCATTCACTAAAGGAGTATCTACAGCTACAGAACTGAAAACTGCAACAGAGACTAAATGAGACTAAATGATCTGCAAAGTCTAGTATTTACTATTTGGTTCTTTGAGAAAAAACTTTGCCAATTCTTACCCTAAAGGAGCATAGGCTCAGTTTTATCTATCATTTGATTCTAAGTTCCACCTATCCTATGCAAATAGCTCTAAAGTGAAGTTCTATACTAGAAATAAGATTATTTTATGAAATTGTAACATAACTTTCTGGTACAGGATTATAGCACCTTATGTCACTAGCCTGGTATTATTGTTACTATATTAAGCCAGTCAAAAGAATGCCTGGCATGGGAAATTCTAACTGTAAAGGTGAAATGCACCTAACCTGCACTGACAGATTAATTTTAGATGAGTGCTCAATGTTACTCCTTAGTAATTGAGGCCAGTAAAATGCCACATCGAAGAAATTAGCTTTAAACTTAATCTCTTCCTCTTACTCAGAGAAACCTTTGCATGACATACATTGAAGAGGGCACTCACTCTGCCAGACCCTTGGCTAGCCCTTACATAAAGCTTATACTGAGACCTGGCCACAAACTGAGGTATTTTAGTAAAGAGATTATCCTAAAATCACAAGAGACACTTACAATACTTAATATTGAAGGATTTTTCTACCAGATATGCTACTATTACATATATTCTACATATTCTGCTACAAGATTCACTGAATAAATCCTATGTTAAGATTTTTTCTTAAGAGTAGGCTATGAACTTATATCTCTAAGGCAGGTTCTATGACAGATTCAGCAAATTTGGGACTTGGATCCTCAAAATGTTTATTTTTATTAATTCCCAGTAAATTCATCATTTCCCTCAATTATGAATATAAGAGCAGCAAACTTAGCGGGAAAAATACTTTGTTATCAATAGAAATTACAGACATTTTCACATTTTATTATATGTATTGTAAATATCTTGAAATGTTTACACCCATCTTCATTGTTAAATTATTAGTTACAAGATTCACTGATACAGTAAACTTGATTTATCATAATGAAAAGCATACAGTAGTAGGCCACACATTTTAAAACTATTTTAATAACGATGTTTCAATGTAAAATGCTACATTTTTGTTTTCTTGCCCATAAAAATTTTATTCTAAAAAGTCAGCCCACAAGGTTTCACCACACTTCCACAAAAAAGGTTAAAACCCCTACTATTGGAACAATGTATAAACAATCAGATCTAAGATAATTCTCTATAGATAATTAAAACTATCTTTGTTTTCCGTTACGTGCCTACACTAATTTTGTTCTTTAAAACAGAGCAAAGGCCGTATGCCACTATTTTTAGCAGCCCTAATTTCAAAACTGGTTTGGAAATAGTTATGAATGTGCTATAACAATCTAGCAGCCAGGGTTCCCTGGCTCATTGGCAGTCATTCTAGTCTAAGCATAAAGCTTTACACAAATATAAATTTCAACTTTCAACAAGAAAGTAACCAAAAGAAAGGAAGAAAAAATGATTGCCATATATCCCACTACCTATCTCTTGAAAACAGTTAAACACAGGCAATTCAATTATTTGTTATTAATGAGGCAATGAACCAACTATACATATATGAGGGGCTCAGTTTTTTCCTTTTGTGGAGTGGAACTCTGGCATATACAGCAAAACAGAGTATGTAAAAATGTATACTCCCCTGAATTTTCTGAGTTGTAGAAGGGGCATTTAAATTTTGCCACAAATTATTCATAAAGCAATTAACAAAACAAATTAAATTTTCAGACACATGCCCAGGTACTCAACTGACAGGAATACTGAGAAAGGAGAAGCTTAACACTAGAAACAGAAAAGTTTATTCATAGGAAAGGGGAGCCCTGACCACCTCACTCTCTCCTTCCTAAGTCACATTGTTTTTGTAAGTAACTGACTATCATAAAAGACATAAAAGTAGTCACATCTTAAGCAACAAGGAATTTTCACAGTCCAAAGATGACTGGGGTGTCTAACTGAAAAAAATCCCCAATAAATCTGAAGAGATGTAAAACCTATAAAATATACAGTGTTACAAACCAATATTACCAATAAAAATAATTAAGTTATAATCTCCCCAAAGTAACATCTTTTAGAAAAATGTATTATTTCCACTATTTTAGGGTAACACAATCTTGATAGAAGAGATATGTATTCTATTTGATTCAGAAGGTAAAATTATCCCTAGTAGTAGTCAGAAGAGCTGGCTTTAGATTTGAGTTATGCAGATATTTGTAAAGGAATGAAGAAGGAAATTACTGTTATTACTGGATATTTTATCATTATCCCTCATTAATACCAGTAGCAAATTATTGTGCTTGTATTTTCTATAATATTTACAAATTCTCATCACTTTACAACAAAGAGAGGTTGTTCAGCACATTAGGGGAAATATGCCCCATTGGGGAATCACAAATGAGGTCAGGTGACCTACACTCCATTAGATTATACATAAAATGAGATGAGTATGCATATGTTTCAGAATATTAAAGGACTATCTAGCCAGAAGAAAAGTTACCTCTACCATAGCTAGAAACTCTACAAAAAGAAAAGCAATTCCTTCCATAGTTACAGAGTGAGTCAGTGTTAACATCAGATAAAGTAACCTGAAACTTCTGGATCCAAGATGCTGAGTAGATCATTCTCCTTAAGAGATCACATATCCAAAGGGAGGGTCCCCAAAAAAATGAAACTTCACCAGTTGAGAAATCACAGGGTGAGGGAAGAATAAAGTTATTCTTTATCAGTCAGGTCATTATTCTGGCTTTCTAAGGGAATTTGCAAAGTAGGGTGTGTCAAAAAGAATCATTTCTTTCAGCTAACACAAAGAACCCCAGAAGCAGTGCTGTAGTCCCCAAGCCTAAATGTCCTCACTTGGGAGTCAGTTAACTTGAAACATATATTCTGTTTTAGAAATAAATTACCTAGTAGTTCCTTTTAGTTAGACAGAAAGTTAGCCAAGTAAACAATGTTCTAGAAAAAGGCCTAAAAAGCCATTTTTAGCTAAACAAAGGCTATTCTCAATTCATTCCCATTCAAGAATCTTTCTGAACTCTCTCCTTCCATCTCAAAGTGTATTTGTAGGAGTTGGAGGTAATTATTACGTTTATCAACTTTTAAAAAGTAGAATAGAAAATGTCAGTTCACATAAGTAAAGATAAGTAGGCATTGCTTCATGAAACTTGTTTCATGAAGTTTCTGTTTCTAGTGTTAAACTTCTCCCTTCATAGTATTCCTCAAACTTTTATTAGATATTTCTTTTAAAATATTAGTGACGGACCCTCCTTGGTGGGGCAAAGGGTTAGGATGCAGCACTGCAAGCGAGCGGCCATTCAGTGCTAGTTCGATCCCTACCTCAGAGGCGCTCCACATGGTGTGGCAGACCTCTCCTGACCTGCCTGCTGCATCCCTCAGCAGTTTACTCGTCATTCTGCCTATTCTGCACCCCACTCTGTCTCTGGTGAATACTCTCACACCCTGCAAATCTGGCCTGTACCTCAGCTCTGTATGAATAAATAAATAAATATTAAAAATAAATAAATAAAATATTGGTGACAAAGTCAGTAATACCTTCTACAAAGGGCTGTTTAGAGATGAGGAGGTAGTGAACTCACTTTAGTTCCTTTCATCTGCATCACTAATAGTCCTCATAAAAGGGAACCAGTAGGGGAAAACCCAACAACTAAAACATCTGAATTATCCACAGCAAAGTTTCATTCCCCATATGCCAGTCACAGTCTCCAGTGACAAATCACTGATCTTGATAGTTAAATGTGTTTAACTATTAAAGCATCTCCCATGTGGAATTCTAGTCACCACTGTTTACAATTTCAGCATTCTCCTTTCTTCTCTATAATGGCCATGATCTTTAGTGTGCTAAATCTCATTCTCAGCCAATACCTTTTACTAACAATTCTCTGTACTTGCAGAATCAGATTGAATAGGGCCCTGAAGTTTGTAGCTTCCTACTCCCATTTTATTCTTGGCAAAATGCTTTCTGCCTGTCTTCAATTCCCATCCCACGCCTTGTTCCTACCATCCTCAAAACCTCCCCGCCCTCAACAGCTATTCCTAGCAGATTTTCTTATCGTAAACTCCTATATCCTAACTGCCTTTATAAATACCACTGTCTTCATTTCGATATAAATTCTGATTCTGGCAACTGAGATTCTGAGTTTCTAATCACCTCAATTGCACTCAGGAAACCTTTTCTAGCAAAGCCTGTGCTCCAGTCATAGATCAAGTCTTCCCAAATGCATCTTTGTACTTCCAAACAGTCCACTGGTCAGAGTTATGGTATTTCAGAGCTGAAAGAAAACTCACAAATGATCTGGTCCGATGTTTTTCATTTACATTTTAAAATATATAAAAGCTATTTTACTTCATAATCTCATACATACTTAATTGAAACAAGTTTCACAAAGCAATACTTACCTTACTTATGTGAACTGACATTTTCTATTCTTTTTATTTCATCACGTGTCAAACATAAAATGGATTTCACAACCCTATGGAACCCACAGTGTTAGAAACTAATTAGTACAAACTCCCATTCAATGAAGTTAAGTGGTGAGATAAGTTTCTCAGCCACAAGAAGTCTGTCCATAAAATTAAACTCAGGTCTGGCAGGTAAATTCCAGACCAGTGTTCTTCCTACTAAAGATCTGTTTTTTCCACTCATGGTCCCTCGGTCATACCCTGTGCCTACTACAAGCCTACGGCACCGTGTCCGGTCACTGTTACCTCATTCTTCTCCTCAAAGTCATTGCTCCTTGGTCAGTCTCCGGCTGCTGCTGTTTCATGGTCCCTTAGGAGAGAGGCCCCACACGGTCACTACCCATCGCTCAGTCTCCTCCGAGTCACTGACCCTTGGCTCCAGTCCCCGCGTAGTCACTGCCTAATACTTCCTCGTCAAAGCCCCCACGGAGCCTCTGCCTCGGGTTCTCCGAGGTCTGGTACCTTTGCAGACATTGACCCAGAGTCACAGGCCCCTCGCAAACGACTACATCTCGGTCACAGTCCCCTGTTGTCTCTGCCCCTGGGTCACAGTCGCCTCGCAGTCTCTGCCTCACACTCCCCTCAGTATGACTGACCCACTCATCGGTCCGTCACCTCACGGTCCCGCCCCACAGCTCACCTCTCAGAGTAGGCACAAGGATATGCACGCACCGGTTCCTCACCTGCAGCTCTCGCTTCCCAGGCCCCTGTCGGATCGGATTTCTGCCGGGCGCCGCGTCACCGACAGGGGAAGTTGAGTGGGTTGCGGGGAGACGCCCGGGGAAGGCAGCTGACCGAACAGCGGGCCGGAAGTCCCGCCTACTGCCCTCCTTCTTGTCAATCCCACCACGACGTTTCCCTTAAAACCGCGACCCCGTGACACAGTAGTTCCGCCTACTAAAACCCCAGAGGTCTCGGGAGTTGAGTGAGCAGAAAACATCAAAGATAGGAAACGAAGTGACTAGGAAACTCCATCCGGAACTGGAGTGTGCAGTGAAGACGCATCCTCGTAGTGAGATACGAATGTGAGCTGTCACGCGTGCTTGCTGGCAAAGGGGTCGAGAATCGTTAACCTTGCGGCTCCCTTTTTGGTAGACTCCAGGCTTACTACCTCTCGGGCTGACCAGTACGTCCAGTTCCTTCCTGCTCTACCCGCAGGGCCTGGCACGATGCCAGGCACTCATATCAGGATATTCATAATATAGATGGCCATGACACCTTGCGTCAAAGATCCGACAGCTCCAGATTTTCCCTTCTTGGTGATGTAAAAAGAATTCACGTCCTTTCAACCAAGCAAGTCCTGTGAAAATTAGCCCCAAACCCTCTTTCTTCGTGTTACTTCTGACCCAGGTTGACAAATCAGAAAATGATCCGTAGGCGTCAACTGAATACTAGTCGAGTAAAAGCGGATTCAAGGCGG